GCATAACCACTTTTAAATATTAGATTTATAACTACATTTCTCTGTGATGCGGACATTTCTTTGTTGTTGAGGCACTCAATCAAAATATTACATAACCTCTCTCAAATCTCTGGCCAAAAATGCTTATAAAAGCTATTATACCGTCTGTTCCAGTCGCTTTATTACTTTTCATATTAAACAAAGCTTGTTTACACTCATCAATTGTAATTATATTTTCACAATAAACTTTTTGTTCCTTTGTACACTCGGACATACTTTTTTCATTAAGTTGGTGCATTTTTTCTTTATTTAATAACTGACTAGTCTGAACTCACTTCAACAGTACTTGTATCTCGAAATAATAGGGAATTTTCGCTCCGGGAGTTGAGAAGAGTACCGTAGTATCCTGTGTCACAGTGCCCTAAAACTCACATGGTTTAAGTTGTCGAAAGTTTGTTTTTTAAATCAAGAAAACTTATAGTGCTTTTGTAAAATCAGGAAAAGATATAGTTTTGCTTAAGCCTCAATATTAGTTTGACCATGGAGGAATTAATTTCTGAATGGTTTGACGCAGCTGACGGTGCACCATTGCCATGTCGAATTTTTGGATCGACTTCTTTTTCTATATATTTAAACAAAACAAAGAATATACCGACGCAGCGGTGACCTAAAATGAAAAAAAGAAAAACAAAATATGTAAATGTAAACATCTTGTAAATGTAAACATCTTTGTATATGTAAACATCTTGGATCGACTTGTTAGATAATCTGATTGTATTTGTTGTCAAAAGATATTACGAACTTTTAAGGTGGTCGCTTACGGGAGGAAAATCATAAGAAAAATCCAAGTCAAAAAGTGGTCGCAGCCACTGGCAGGAAGTGTTGGCTTGCGAAAGGTATATAATGCGCTGATTAAATAATAAGAACAAACGGGACCATAGTGGACGGTAATGGCTATGATTGTTACGGGAGGTGGTCGCACAAGGAGGTTTAATTGTATTATACCAGGGAAAAGTTAATTTATACTCTTCCAATTATACCATAACACTGTAATAAATTACAGCATTTTCATTTGCTACCTCGATCCGGGTGACCAGAGAGTTACCATGATTGTAACAAAATGTTTTTTATTTTAATTTTTATTACTGTAGACACAAAATTCGAGATAGATGACACGGCGTGTGTGCAGGGTTTGAGGCAAGGGTCACTCAGTTACTGTACTCGGAATCCTTAATAAAAGGAGGATGGCTTACATTCCATATACATTAATATATATTTTTTTAACATTCCCGATCATTTAGTACTATTAATCAGGATTTTTTAAAAATTTTTATTAACTAAAATTAAAGTTATGGAATGATATCATGTTTACAGTTAGTCTTATATCATTCGTCATCAATGCATTGTCAGTCAAAATTTCATCTTAACATTGTAAGCTTAATATAAGTTGTAAGCCTATTAAAGACTTGAAAGATATTATTAATATATTATTCTCCTGAAGACAATTGAAGGAACTCAATCGAAACGTCAAGACATTCTCAAACAACAACAGTTCTTTTCAGATCTATCTACGTGGTATACTGCAAGCATTAATATATATTATTAATATGCCTACACAATTGTTTTAAGGCAATGCCAGATTTCAACCGGAAGTGTATTCGTACGTAGCTAGTGATGCTATTAAAAATACGACTGTAAGGTTAATTTCGAGTTTAGTGACCAGGTAAAATATCTACTTTTTAAGTCGATGTTTAATGCTTAATTTAGTATAGACGAGAATATGCGTAAGGACATTTTGAATGCCCAAAACGTCCAAGTTTATATATTTACCAAGTAGACAGAAGAGGTAGACTTGTGTTTCATAAGCAATTCCGTGAGCAAAGGTCAAGCTTTATTATATACCGTCTACAAACAGTTTGTAGGCCTAGTTTATAAATAGTTATTTAACACTAAGTACAGTATTCGTTTACACATTATACCCCGTGGCTTGCAGCTATGCATTCCAAAATGTTCACAACCATTACTTTTTCCTGCATCATTGCGTTAGTTTACGGTCAATCTCCACACGTAATTACAACGTTGGGAGAAGTTGAAGGAAAGACGATTCTTTTTTCTGAAGATTCATACATAGGTGTCAATAAGTATATCGATGTATACAAGGGTATTCCATACGCCGAGCCCCCAGTCGGTAGTCTGCGCTTTGAGAAGCCGCGCCCAAAAGAACATTGGATAGGTACCTTGAACGCGACAGAATATAGTCCACCGTGCATCCAGCCTGTAGATGCAAATCCGTATACAGTTGTGGGTAAAGAAGATTGCTTGAACTTAAACATCTTTGTTCCCCAATCTAAGGTAAAGAATCCTCGATTCTGTATTCAGTAAATATTTTGTCATATAATTATTTTTTATTAAATAGTATGTTGTATAGTTAGGCCTATGCGATATTGTTTTTACCAACATATTATTTGTTTAATGCTTCATAGATTTATTATTACTATTTTATTATTATTTAGCCACATAACGCATCTGTCATGTTATTCATTCACGGAGGAGGCTTCCTGACAGGCACTGCCTCAACAGACGATTACTCTGGGGTGGTATTAGCTGCCACCGGCGACGTAATTGTGGTAACCATCAATTACAGGCTCAACTTTTATGGTTTTCTTACAACAGGTACGGATAAAATATATTCATACTTTAACAAACTAAATATTGCTTGAAGTTTCAGTGCTAACTACAGATAGGCTTACATTATTATGTAAAGAAAATAATAAATTATGTAATATTTTATATGACAATAATCATTATGAGATTTAAACATAGTATTTAACCTCGTGACTACTAAAACCCTGAGATCGTAAGTTCTTAACCATCAAACCGTAACATTCATACACTCTATAACAACCATGGAGGAATAAATTTAGCTTATTCCTCCATGCTTGACAGTAGCGACGTAATAAGTGTTAATAGCCAATTGACTTATTTAGACATTATTTACTTACTGTTAAGACCAATATTTAATCTCATATGTTATGAAATTCTATAAAATAATAATTTACATATATTGAAATCATTAATGTATATTGTAAATAGGCCTATTAAAAAAGCGGCAAATTTTCTGCACAATCATGTGTTTAAAGATATTTTTTCGACTACTGAATCTCATAGAAACTACCTTAAGGAATCACAGTTACTGGCTTGTATAGAATATGGAAAATGAGCATATAGGCCACCTCTAACTATAACTCCGCTGGAAACCTTATTTTTCCCCCACAGGAGATGATGACTATCCCGGCAACGCAGGACTGTTCGATCAGCTTGAGGCTTTGAAATGGGTAAACAAAAATATTGGAGGTAAACTGTGCTTATTGATGAATGAAAACAAAAGCAATAAAAAATATACTTCCAAATATCTGCTAACCATATACATTTATGATAATTCAAGAAGAAATATTTCAAAATTAAGCTCTTCTTTTATATTTTTCTTAATAATACTCACGATGTTACTATGCCATCTGTTTTTACTATAATGATAGGAACAGATGTTGGAATAATGTCATTTTTGCCTTACATTTTGTAGACTAAAGTAATATGCGGTTTCCCCATCATAAGATTATGAATTTTAGGGTCTGATTTCAATTGATGGATAGGGCCTACTGCTTAGCTCAAATAAGCAATTCTACTAATACTACTTAATTAGTATATATA